GAATCCGTTTTGTCATTTCATTTCTACGAATATAATATTTTGATTATGTTGACTGGCCAATTTGTAAATCTTAATGGAAATGTTGTCAAAGGGGTGAGTTACATTGTTAAACATCTTCCTCATCACTGAAGTTAAGCAGCATTGCCACTATATTCATTTTCGAAACTATGGGATATCTGGAATATACTGCATATGAGAGAACATAAACAGAAATGACTTGCTTAGTTCTTAATGTTTTGGTCCTAAATCCAAAGATAATCAACTTGACCAAATGGCAAATATGGAGCACGAACAAGAATCAACTTAGAAAATAAATTCTGCAGATTAAATACAAACCAGCTTAGAGAACCAGCAAAGCGCTGACCTTACCCAGATAAGCTAATTATGTATGGCTAGAGTTGGGTCTGAAGATCGTAATTATCTGACATCAGAATAACATACAAGTTTAATAGCCCAACTTTTTGGATCAATAAAGAACTTATATGATGAACTCAATAAAAATCACAGAAATAAAAAATAAATGCATTTGTCGATAAAGGAAAAGAAAAAACACAGAGAAATAAGCATGTACAACAACAGAGCGATCCATCTGACACACAAAATATGCAAAAGCGCGAGTAAAAATATCTGCAGTTGTTTACATATTTCAACAAATTAGCATACTACAAACGTAATAGCACTGCATCGGTCGAAACAGCTTTCCTCCTCGAAACGAATAGCTATTACAATCAAAAGGAACTGGGAAGAAACCTAGAAACAAACATTTGCGACTCTTCGCCTAGATCGAAAAGGAGAACGACAACATGAAATTAGTAATCACTATGGAACTCATCAAACAACACACCCAATTTAATCGAAGAGAAAAAAATACAATAAATTCAAGAAAAGGGAAAGAATAACCTGACTACAAACGGGAGATCAAACGATCAATCGGGCGATAACTCACGTCTAAACAACTGAAATCAAAGATGACGGCAAAGAGCGAGTGCAAACTGAGGGGAGAATGCAGGAAGATCGGGGAGAGACGAAGCCCCAAACTCACACGAGGAATTTAGGGGTTTCGTCCGAGCACAGAAGAATGGATCGTTTCAGTTCAATCCACGTCTTGTTGGGATGCCGTGCGGCGTTTAGATTGGTGGATGATTAGTATTAACGTGGGTAAATAAGGCTTGTAGACCAACTTAACCAACCGGGTCGGGTTGAAATTGAACCGCGGCGCGCAGTGACGGAAATGCGTGCTTCCGCGGAAAACCCGACCCGTCATGCCCTCGAGTCGGATCGTGATCGACATATGACCCATGAATCAATATCAGTCATATTAACCGATTCGGGTCGGATAAAACCAGTGACTTTTGTTGATGATTAATATCCCTACAAGGATTATATCTATATAATTCTTAAAGCTCGACCAACACTTGTTGTGTCAGTTCAAAATTAAAATTTTCTACTACATTTTGCAGTTATATGCTTTACGTTGATCGATACTTTGAGGAGATTTCCAAACAATCTGCAAAGAAAGCTTTTCTCGAATTATGGATACAAATTTCTTTTAGATTTTATAATGTGTTCAAGCTAAAATTGCATATATTTGCCTCTCTCAGGTTCCTGTAGTCTAAGACACTCCGCTCAATCTTAACATGTTGTGCTTGTGCAGTTTGCTGTAGAGTTTATGGTCATAGTGTTGGATTTGGTGGCTCCTGCTTCCAGAAGGACATTCTTAACTTGGTCTACATCTATGAATGCAATGGTCTTCCAGAAGTGGCGAACTACTGGAAGCAGGTTATCAAGATCAATGACTACCAGAAAAGCAGGTTTGTGAACCGGGTGGTTTCCTCCATGTTCAATACTGTTTCTGGAAAGAAGATTGCTGTACTTGGGTTTGCATTCAAGAAAGACACAGGTGACACAAGGGAGACGCCAGCCATTGATGTTTGCAAGGGCCTTTTGGGGGACAAGGCCAAGATTAGCATCTACGATCCTCAAGTATCTGAAGACCAGATTCAGCATGATCTTGCTATGAATAAGTTCGACTGGGATCACCCTATCCACTTGCAGCCAATGAGCCCAACAGCCGTGAAGGAGGTGACAGTGACCTGGGACGCATACGAGGCCACCAAGGGAGCACATGGGGTCTGCATTCTGACTGAATGGGATGAGTTCAGGAAGCTGGATTATGCAAAAATCTTCCAGAACATGCAGAAACCAGCTTTTATCTTTGATGGGCGCAATGTGGTGGATCCGGAGAAGCTAAGGGAGATTGGATTCATCGTTTACTCGATTGGGAAGCCATTGGATCCGTGGCTCAAGGACATGCCCGCTGTGGTCTAATTGGGAGCTCAGTAGAGAGCGATATACGGTAAAAGACTCTTTACGGATCAGGGTTAGGTTTTGAGTTTCAAACTGAGGATTCTTCAAAACTATTGTCTTGTATTGGGTATTTTTCTGTCTTTTGTCCTCACATTTTAGTTAGACAGGGAATGGTTGATTGCACTCTTATATACTTTGTGTCGAAGTGTCTTCGGTTGCATTATCTGCTAGGGTATTGTACTCCATTCATTCTTGCTGTGAGAGGAAAACACGAATTGCTAGTTCATCTGAATGCCATATTTGGTTTTCTAAAAATTACTTTTGACCTTGTAACTCACACATTTCTGGCCTCGATGTATCTGTGCATCAGTGCGTTATTGTGGTTCATTGGAAAAAGCTTCTGAATTCGTCAAGTATTAAAGGCAATTAAACTGCTTCATAACAGGTTTTCTGCTCATAGTTGATTATTCTAAATGTTGGACATAATGTTGATGCGTGGAACTCAAGCCTATACGAAAAGAAACTATGACCATAAACTCTACAGCAAACTGCACAAGCACAACATGTTAAGATTGAGCGGAGTGTCTTAGACTACAGGAACCTGAGAGAGGCAAATATATGCAATTTTAGCTTGAACACATTATAAAATCTAAAAGAAATTTGTATCCATAATTCGAGAAAAGCTTTCTTTGCAGATTGTTTGGAAATCTCCTCAAAGTATCGATCAATGTAAAGTATCCATAACTGCAAAATGTAGTAGAAAATTTTAATTTTGAACTGACACAACAAATGTTGGTCGAGCTTTAAGAATTATACAGATATAATCCTTGTAGGGATATTAATCATCAACAAAAGTCACTGGTTTTATCCGACCCGAATCGGTTAATATGACTGATATTGATTCATGGGTCATATGTCGATCACGATCTGAATCGAGGGCATGACGGGTCGGGTTTTCCGCGGAAGCACACATTTCCGTCACTGCGCGCCGCGGTTCAATTTCAACCCGACCCGGTTGGTTAAGTTGGTCTACAAGCCTTATTTACCCACGTTAATACTAATCATCCACCAATCTAAACGCCGCACGGCATCCCAACAAGACGTGGATTGAACTGAAACGATCCATTCTACTGTGCTCGGACGAAACCCCTAAATTCCTCGTGTGAGTTTGGGGCTTCGTCTCTCCCTGATCTTCCTGCATTCTCCCCTCAGTTTGCACTCGCTCTTTGTCGTCATCTTTGATTTCAGTTGTTTAGACGTGAGTTATCGCCCGATTGATCGTTTGATCTCCCGTTTGTAGTCAGGTTATTCTTTCCCTTTTCTTGAATTTATTGTATTTTTTCTCTTCGATTAAATTGGGCGTGTTGTTTGATGAGTTCCATAGTGATTACTAATTTCATGTTGCCGTTCTCCTTTTCGATCTAGGCGAAGAGTCGCAAATATTTGTTTCTAGGTTTCTCCCCAGTTCCTTTTGATTGTAATAGCTATTCGTTTCGAGGAGGAAAGCTGTTTCGACCGATGCAGTGCTATTACGTTTGTAGTCTACTAATTTGTTGAAATATGTAAACAACTGCAGATATTTTTACTCGCGCTTTTGCATATTTTGAGTGTCAGATGGATCGCTCTGTTGCTGTACATGCTTATTTCTCTGTGTTTTTTCTTTTCCTTTATCGACAAATGCATTTATTTTTCATTTCTGTGATTTTTATTGAGTTCATCATATAAGTTCTTTATTGATCCAAAAAGTTGGGTTATTAAACTTGTATGTTATTCTGATGTCAGATAATTACGATCTTCAGACCCAACTCTAGCCATACATAATTAGCTTATCTGGGTAAGGTCAGCGCTTTGCTGGTTCTCTAAGCTGGTTTGTATTTAATCTGCAGAATTTATTTTCTAAGTTGATTCTTGTTCGTGCTCCATATTTGCCATTTGGTCAAGTTGATTATCTTTGGATTTAGGACCAAAACATTAAGAACTAAGCAAGTCATTTCTGTTTATGTTCTCTCATATGCAGTATATTCCAGATATCCCATAGTTTCGAAAATGAATACAGTGGCAATGCTGCTTACCAGGTCACTGTCACCTCCTTCACGGCTGTTGGGCTCATTGGCTGCAAGTGGATAGGGTGATCCCAGTCGAACTTATTCATAGCAAGATCACGCTGAATCTGGTCTTCAGATACTTGAGGATCGTAGATGCTAATCTTGGCCTTGTCCCCCAAAAGGCCCTTGCAAACATCAATGGCTGGCGTCTCCCTCGTGTCACCTGTGTCTTTCTTGAATGCAAACCCAAGTACAGCAATCTTCTTTCCAGAAACAGTATTGAACATGGAGGAAACCACCCGGTTCACAAACCTGCTTTTCTGGTAGTCATTGATCTTGATAACCTGCTTCCAGTAGTTCGCCACTTCTGGAAGACCATTGCATTCACAGATGTAGACCAAGTTAAGAATGTCCTTCTGGAAGCAGGAGCCACCAAATCCAAGCAAGTCGATGTATATTAATTTCCCAAGACCAAACAATTGGAATTAGGAAAAGGACAATCAAAAGTTAGAAATTTCAAAAAATAAAAGGAGGTTACGAACTGGGTGAATAGAAGATCTTGAGATGAATAGATAGATCAAGGTCTAATTCTTTCAGTAGAAAATATTTTATAACTGTAGAAGAAAGACAAGAAGATGATCTCCCAGTGGAAGCTACTCAAGCACAAAGAAACCATGCATACGCATCAGATCTGAACATGGACAATCTGCGAATACCAATTTTACAGAACAAACCTATCACTTGAGACTAATTGCTAAGGTACATTAGCATACACCACAGATCTGAACTTAAAGTGACATGATCTGTACAAATCTTCAGCTCCAGAGGCTGAAATATATGTAGATTTGGAACCAAACAATACTTCCCTAACGAATCTGATTCATTTCTTAATCATCCTAAGTTGTGAACCAACGGAACGAAACAAATAGATCTGTTGATCCAAAATACCAACTAACATCCCCATCCCAGATCAAGCACGGTAATTGGATCCACTCAAAATCTTGCACAAAAATAACAGATCTAAGCTCTGTCGCAAGACAAGGTGACTATTTGACACTTCGAAGAAGTCAAAGGATAATGGAGATTTGGCAATACAACCAAAAATTAGAAGCTTCAGATCGGGTGAGAGCATTACCTTCCGAGAGACTCCCGCTGCTTTTCTTCAAGGGAGAGATCGGAATCAGCAGAGGCACAGTGAGATCTAAGATCCTAGAGGGAGAGAGACGGAGAGACAGCGAGGAAGAGAGAGGAAGTCTCCGTGGCGGAAGAAGCGGTGCGCTGCACCATCTTCTTCGTCGAACTCACCGACAGCACGAAAAGTCAAGCAAACGCGTTGGTGAGCTGGACGACTCCTGATCTACCAAACACGAATTTTGATGAGCCAGAAAAATAAATATCCGTCTTTTAGATTAATCTTGGGCATAAATTTTCATTTGTTCATATGAGAAGGGCACGCATGTCATTCCACTGTCCACACACGTTGACAAAACATATGATATCATCCAATCACGTTGACCGTCCACGTAATCATATCGGCCAGCTATAGAGTTAAAGAGCACATCATTTTAGATTTATTCGATGGGATTATTTCGAAGCTCAAGCCAATTAAAAATAAAAAATTATTTTTAAAATAAAAATTGATGAAAAATATATTAACGATCAATTATATGACACATAAGCATCATACGAAAATTATCATGAAAGGAAAAAGATCCGGATCACGCCCAACCTATCTATTGCATGGATAAAAATTCAAGCCAAATCATTCAGGACCGTCTCTCCTCTTATCGCTCATATGGATAAAACGTCAAGAGGGAGATATTAGAGCAGTTACAAGTTATCCTCTCCGATGCTAGGTATAAAAAGTAATCTCCAACGCTACGCCGAAGAGCTCTGCTTCTGAAGAAAACTCATACTAAAAAAAAAACTTCGATCTTAATACCCAAGGCGAGAAATTTCTCTTAATATCGATCTTAGTGTATGTGGTTTCTTGGGAGCTCGACATTTTCACCTCAAAGCCACCTCGGACACTTATGCACCCTCGGATTTGGACCATGTTAAGTTGACTCAAATGTCAACGATGATTTCCTCTATGATTTTTGGCATTAGAATGAGGGTCTGATGTCGCAAGAATATCCATTCGTTAATTCCCCCAACGAATGCTCTAGCGATAAGGCCCTACCTTTGACCCATAGCATTTTTATTTATGGGAGGCAACTTCCATCCTTCCTTCATGTTGACACGTACATTTTAACACAAATACTGATGTGGTACTAGTGTATGTTCAATGACTACGGTTTTTTACCCTCATGGATAATCTCAAGCCACATACTTGTTTATGTTAAGGCATTATTGAACCTCACCCAGCAAGTACAGATGCTAATGAGTATGATGCAGGTGATCGCCCTGCACTTACTTTGGTTAGGCCAACAAGTAATACCAACATCTCAACCGCAATCAATACCTTTAGCTTGTGAGCCTCCCCATTAGTAATCGTTACCTCCTCGGTGAGCTTCGAGTTACACGTCCTCATTGAGTCCAATTCTCAAGTGAGCCACAGTAACTCATCCTCCATTACTTGGTTGTTGCCCCGAACCTCTTTTAGCTATTTGGCAAGGCTAGCCAAGCATTGCTCAACATTATCTAGTTGACGTGTCAACTTGGCCACTCGAGCCTCTACCTCGACGACAACAAAAGAGGCTCTTCCTTCATTCTTCAAGTCTTCGACCTCTATCTAGAGATCATCGATTATGAGATATTGCTAGTGAATGACGGTACTATCATCCTGAACACAATCAATGAGGGTCGTCGTATAGTGGTGGTGCTATGAATAAAAAATGAATGTAAGTAAGGTGAAACCAAATGGGCTAGCCATGACCTAATTTACCATCACTTTGTTTTAGTAGCAAGTATCAATCAAAGCCTTCGAGGAGGAGTAACAGAACTGCTTCGCCATCCCCAAACATAGGGACCCACGGTGGCACTACTCCATAACCACACTCTCGCCCCACACCTTCTATATCTCTTTTAAGCTTTCCCACCTCGATCGCAGTAGTGCATCCGGGGTCGAGTCCAACAAATCGGCCATTTGTAAACCCATAAAGGACAAGGGCTTCCCCTTGCACAAGTCTAACATTGACCATGGCATGCCCTTCTTTTTCCTTGAGAAATACTTAGAACTTTGACATTCAAGAGGTGTAGGCATTTGTAATGGTGGGAGGCTCCCTCTCCCAAGATGGCTCCTTAGGTGCATCATTCCTCTAAGGTTAGAAGACCTTCCTCATGACAACCTAATGTTTCTTTCTTGATTTGTCATTGTTGCCATGATGATCAGACCGAAGTGAGTCCGCCTTTACTAATGACTTACGAGCTACAACCTAGGTCGAGTGGGGCTCTATTGTGCTCATCGATAAGCCAAGGGCCTTCCTCTTTAAGGAGTGTATATCTATGCCTATATAAGATTCAAATTATAAGACTGAAGATTGAAAAGAGAGGTGGAGTGAAGCGATGGGAGGTTCGGGTCATACCCCGAGGAGCTAGGCTGAGACCTGTATCAATCAGTCAGCCATCATCTATCTTTTGGACTACCTTAGAGGAAGAGAGTATATCTCTTAGTCGAAGCATTTGACTTACCTCGTCATTTGATAAGAAGGGAGGGGTATTGTCAATGCAATATGCCCACCATATGAGGTTGAATCCCTAGTCTCGACTTGAACTCATGAGAAAGAAGTACTCTTTCTAACCTTTGTGGTTGGAAGGACACCACTAATCTTAAATCCTCCTCGAGCAGCTATGTAGTAGTCACTTCTCCCCTAGAGGTGTGGACGAAATGTGCTTGAGACATGTGAGTTAGGAAAACCTAACTTGTACTAAGAAAAATCCACTATAGCAGAAACGCAAGGTAAAATGTGCCCAAGGCGTGTAAGTCTATAAAACTTGACTTATGCGAAGAGAAATCCACTATGGTAAAAACATATAGTAAAATATGTATGAGGCGTGTAAGTCAGGAAAACCCAACCTGTACTAAAAGAAATCCGAAACAATGAAAGCATAGGGCCAAATGTGCCTAAGGCGTATGAGTTAGGAAAACCAAACCGTGTTAAGAGAAATCCACTATAACGAAGATGAAATGTGCCCGAGGCATCTGAGTTGAGAAAACATAACCAGTGCGAAGAGAAATCTAATACAGTAGAAAACATATGGTGAAATGTGCTCGAGGTGTATATGTTGAGAAAACCTTACTTTCCCCCAGAAAAATTCACCACAACGAAGGCGTAGGGCGAAATATGCTTGAGGCATGTGAGTTGAAAAAACTTGACCTGTATAAAGAGAAATCTACTATGGTGGAAGTGTAGGGTGAAACATGCTCGAGGCATGTGAGTCAAGAAAACCCAACTCACGCTAGGAGAAATCCGCCATGGCATCGCAAGACAAAATGTACTTAAGGTATGTGAGTAGACCCTCGCTCGACCAACGTTTGATGCCACGAAGGGGCAGATTAGCAATAGGCCTGTTGGATAAATTAAACGTTGTATTTTGAGTCCCCAATAAGAGCCTCGAAGTATGCATTTGAGGGGAAAATGATAAGAAATATATTAACAGGCAACTATCATCCAACATATAAGCACCATATAAAAGCTATTATGGAAGAAAAAAAGTCTAGGTTTCCCCTCACTTGTATGTCCGCGTGAACAAAAGTCTAAGGCATATCATTTGGGACTGTCTTCCCCCGTTACCCATGTGGACAAAACGTCAAGAGAAGGACGTTAGAGCGATTACAAGTTGTTCCTTCTAAGACTAGGTATAAAAAGTAACCTCTAACGCTATATCGAGAGGTTATGCTTTCAAGAAAAATATATACCCAAAAAATAATCTTGGTATATAACTTGAGCGTCGAAGAGATCAGGTCGAAAAATTTCTCCTGACATCAATCTTAGTATACGTGACATCTCGGGAGCTTGACACTTCCCCCTCGAAGCCACCTTGTAGCTACTTCGATCACCATCTCTGACACTTAGTGCTTTTGGGTTTGGACCACATTAGGTTAACTCAAGTAAATGTTAACTATGAATTTTATAATTGAAATATTCTTTTATTTCATTCTTACTAAAATGATGAGAATTGTTGCTGCATGTTAATCCCAATAATTTAAAATTTTTGACCATTATTGATGAATCTCATACTTACCATACGTTGATAAAAAATCAGAGATATAATGATTAGATCGCATTTTATATTGATTGAAAATTTTAAATCTTAAAATTATTGAAAGGTAAAATTATGCCGATTTATCCCAGTATCTAAATGACAAGATATTATGTCGATTTAAAATCTTTAAATGAACCAAATAAATGTGACATGAATCAAACCGATCCGGTAGAAGATCTACTCCCTTGCATTACTTGCAAATTGTTCGAAACTCAATCCGACGGCTGGGAATTGATCATTAATTCAAAATATAGTGAATCGGAGCCGTACCGAGAACTAGCCGTTACAAATCACCTTCCCGGAGCACCGCTCTCCCTTTAATTTCTGGAACCGTTCGCTGTTTTCGTCCGTCAGAAACCCTACGTGAAAGAACCAATCTTTCATCCGTTCCTTCACACTCCAATCCTTCCCCAATCGATTCCCGGCCTTGGAGGACCCGGAGATGGCGACGCCCTCGAAGAAGACGCAAGCCTCCCGACCTCACGCCTCGGAGATGCTGAAGATTTACGAAAATTCCGATCCCAACATCCCGATCTCGCCCCCTCTTCCTTCTAAGAAACCGGTTAAATCTCCGTCGATTGGGTCGGCTCAGTCGAATAAGCCCATTCCGAAAACCCCTGGTCGGATCTTCGCGCCGCTGCCCCTGCCAGAGCGGGCCAGGAAGTTTATCGTCGCCAAGAAGAGTTCGAAGAGGGCGGGGAACGGCCTCGATTTTGAGAGGTGCCGGAAAGAATCCTACGAGGCCCTCCGAGCATCGCAGGAAGAGTTCTTTAGGAGAGATCGTTCCTCCGATGTCGCCGAGGTAGCAGACTCGGCAATCAGTGAGGCCGACGGATCCATAGATGGAGGTGACAAGGACGGAACGGATGTGACGGAGAAGGCCTTGGATTCAGTGGTCGAGGATCTGGAGGGCGGTTCAGAAGCGAGAAACCTGAGGAACTTGGTGATGGAGGAGGCGATGAGTGGCATGCCTGAGCCGGGGTCTGGCCGTGTGAAGCATTTGGTCAAGGCATTTGAGAACTTCCTATCCATTTCGAAGGATGATGAGGCTGATAAGCACGAAGATAGGAAGCCAATGGTGTTGAATTGGGCACTTCCGGGATTTCAACCATCAACCAAGGTAGCAGCGGAGGCAGTAGTTTCTTCGACGTCCATTTTCTCTTCAGCTGGGTTCTTTCCGTCCAGAGAACTTGAGAAGAATTTGAGGTTATATTCTTCGGTGGAGAGTAATGGTGACAGGTTAGTGATACTTAAACTGTGAGAATGGAGTTTTCTGTTACTCTGTGCTGTTTTGTTGAGTATTCTTGGGCTTCCTTTAAGGATTGAATCTTAATTGACCAAAGTTCTGAATTTAGGTTCAGCTGGGGGAGAAGGACATCCGGAGGAGGAAGGAATAAACGTAATGTAAGAAAATATTCAGTTCTACATTTTTTCTTTAGCAGTTCTACAATGTCGAATAGAGCTTCCTTTGCTCTTTTTCCTTATAAATTAGATCTCAAGCAAAAGAATATTGACTTTGACATCGAAAATGCTTCTACTTGCCAGAGTTCTGAATCTCTGAGGAGGAGCTGGAATAAGATGCTTAAAGTGACCAGCCAACATCCATTCAAATTGAGAACTGAGGTACACTGTCACACTAATTTCCTTAGCAAAGCATATCTATAATTACCTACAGAAGCAAGGATGGTTGCTTTATCAGTTTTCTCACTATAAGAATGAAAACTAATATTTAACAGCTTTGTCACTATGTTTGTCGCAAAAAAATGCACATGATTATACAAGCAGTGAGGCAGAAACTTGAGTTTGTAAAGACGTAATGGATTGTCACCTGGTTTTGATCGGGCCCTTCGGTGGTAATCAGACTCTTATCTGACTTCAGGCCTGGAATCAGTACTACAATTGCACTAGCGATCAAATTCTATAAATTGTTCACCTGCTAGTTTTAGTTCACTGTGCATTCATCTTTAAATCGATGCAATTTGGACTGAGTATTTGGAAAAGAAGTATTATGATTGACTTATGAAAAAAATATATATCAAATTAGATATATGAAGCTAGTTGCAGGATGAGATTCACATTGATGATCTGATGGTGTTAGAGTTTTGTTGATACTGCAAGCTCTGGAAGTTTAAATGCTTGAAATGGCCATAACATGGCTTTCTTTGATTTTTAAGGTTTGGGCTTTCTGATCGGTAATGTTTCTCAAGAGATATAGAACTGTTTGTACATAGATTCTTATTTGTTTAGCCATCTACAGTAAAATAAATTTCTCTGTAGTAAAACCATGGAGAGTCATGTCATTTGAACTATATCCTTCACATTATCCTCCATAAGTAGAATTTATGCTAGAATGATAAACATGGGGTCATGGCTGATTATTCTCCTATGAGATGCTGCTTAATGCACAAGGCTTATGCCAACATAATGTAATACAGTCTTATCTCTATAAGCAAAACAACATCTTTTGTTAGTTAAAACCTGGCCACTCGAGTTGCAAAAGAACAACTCTATTACGGCACAGGCCCATCCTCAAGGTTGAATATTGTCTTATTCTACTAAATTTGTCATTATCTTTTTGAACCCTCATAGATGACTAGATAAAATGGTTTTGACAACTTCTATCGTATATGTGGAATGCAACTAATCATAAATAGAATGCTTTTGTACCATCAAGGACATAGAGTTTTGTTATGCTCAATCTCCTATTCTTAGGCTTGCAAGAACATTATACAGCTCAGTCACAACACAATATCCAAGGCTGAAATAGTGAAAGTTGAGTCAATGTATCCACTACGTACTTCCCTTCATTTTTGTGTTAGCATGTTATTTCTGATAGAGGGTGACCAATTTCAGCCAAAGCATATAAGCTAGCACAAGTAATCTAGGACCTTCCTTCTTGTTGTTATTATTGTATGTAGGAATCCAAGTCAAGGAAATGTGTTTTACTGTTTACAGCAAAGAGGAAGGATTAAGGAAGAACAGTTTGTCAAGAAAGTGAAAGCAATGCTGTTGGAAGAGGAGAAGCAACAGATACCTATTGCTCAGGGCCTTCCATGGACCACAGATGAACCAGAGGTGACAACCTCTTTTAACTTCAAGTATTTAAAATAGTTGCTAATAGTAACATTCTATTTCATTAAAAAGAACAATATGTTTGACTTTGTGGTGGTCATGCTACAACTATATGTAATAATAAATCATTTTTAATTTTTCTCTATGTTTATTATGTTTGCAAACTGAATCATTTTTCTTGTTCACAACGTGTCCTTGTTGTATACTATATTTCAGAAATTTAACACAAAGTTCTAAATGACAATTTCATATGGTGGCTAAAAAATTATCTTGACAAGATTGTTCAATTACCATAATGCTTCGTTTTTTGAATGTACTGCAATTTCACAAGCTTTTAGATTCTTATATTCACATTGAAGTTGAAGATATCTGTTCCAGTTTCAGTGAGATGTAGTTTTATTTTTTAATTTAAATATATTATGGAATTGAGCTTGGCCTTAAACTAATCCCATCACCTGGTGTGCAAGTCCTTTGTTGTTTAGTCTGAAGAAGCCCAAAGAAGTTACAGTTAACTGAAAGTGGGAATTCTAGGGCACACAAAGTGATTGTGATTACTTTTATCAAAAGAAGAATTGAATTGAGATAACTTTGTATACGTAGGAAGTTAAGACTCATAGTAGATTAAATGCTTCATTTGGTTGTGAATTATAGACTGTCTCAGTTTGCATTTAGTTTTTTACAGTTGTGAAGTCTCTCAATTTTCAACAACGAAGATTTATTTGTAATACCAAGGCTATCACATCTATGATTAACTCTAGGATTTGAATTTTAAGTTAATGGCAAAATATAACCTCTTTAAGCCAAAATTAAAATTTTTTATTATCTTAATCATAAATACCATAGTGATTTTCCATCAGAAGAACTACACACCCCCATTGTACTTTTTTCTTTTGTTGAATTTGCTACATTCACCAAGCACATTGATTTGAACTCAATTTTTATTTTGAAATTCCTAAGAGATGCTTGCTACTGTCACTGCCATATCTTCCAACTCGAGGACACCTCCATCTAGATCATTTGGCAGATACAACAGGACATTTACATCTAGAAAGAACAGTCACAGAAGGCTCAATTAAACTATATGGGATCAAATATATGCATGGTATACTTGAATGATTTGTCGAGTCTAATATATGATAGCTTTCAGCAAGTTTAGCCAGAGTATGTAGAGATTTTGTACTAAAATTTATCATCTTTGGAATCAGACTAGGATTGCCACAAGTTACAATAATTTTGGACTGATATGAAATTGTAACTGAATATTTATTTTCCAAGTCAGACACTTGGATAGCTAATTTCTGTTTACAGATTACAGAATTTTCAATTCTGTGACATCACATTCTTGATTATTGCTCACATCTTTATTGCTGAAATGTTGTTTAGCACTTGGTGAAGCCCCCTGTAAAGGAGGGCACTGAGCCAATCGACATTGTTTTGCGTAGCGATGTGCGTGCTGCGGAAAGGGCTGAGTTTGATCAACTCGTAAGTTTTCTGAACGACTCTATTACCATCAGTTAAAAATCAGTAGAAATGCTTTACCATACTAAGGGATGGCAGCAGGTCAAGCTTTCTCAGGTAGTTGGGTCTTCTGACCTGCTTAAACTGGGTCTGAAAACGCTTTGATAGGTTTTAGAACGTGTCTGGATGGTAGAGTAGGCAGGCACCTGAGTCATGTTCGGGTTTAGGTAACTAGGTAGTCAGATTTTGGTACCTACCTATTGTCATTTCTAATGTGACCTAGGACTGATAGGATTGTGTATTTTTTATTGTTTAGTCTATCCATCACTTAAATCAGGTTCAAGTACCGGTTTGATCGGGTTTGGGATGGGTTTGATAGGAAAGTAGGTATGAATGCTGGTTGCCAGTATGAATACTTGATGATTATTCAGATTTGAGTGAAATCTGTCGGTACCCAACCCGTTGCCCATCCCTAAGCATACTTCCATAGACATTGAATTAGCGACTATGCCAAGACATTAAGATGCTTTTGTTGCTTACTTACGAAATTTGACTTCTCTTCAGGTTACCGAGCGGATGAACTTCGCTGAACAACTAAGATTGGAAAGGGAGATGAGGCAAAAGGTATTCCTAAATTACAAGAATTAGCTATGTTGTTTGTCAATTAATGTATGTTATATCAAGATTTATTATACATACCCAACAAATTGTATAGTTAGAGGAAAAAGAAGAAATACGTCAGCTTAGAAGAGAGCTTGTGCCTAAAGCTCAGCCAATGCCATACTTTGATCGACCCTTCATCCCTAAAAAGTAAGTTTTCTGTCCAAAGCAAATCCATTCCATGATTTCTGCTAGCATGTTCTTTAAATTTTTTATAGACATATATAAATGATTTTGTTGTTTGTTAGCCAAGCTTCATAAAGAGCAAGACAGGTGACTGCTTATATATACAGTTGCCACCAATTAACTGAATCTAGTAGATTCGTAGTCTATCGTTTCTCTTGGAAAATGCTATATAGGTGGACTGACTGAATGATCAAAGTTTTTAGGACCTACATATATGAGCCCCAGTCATCAATTCTGTGAGCAGTGACATCACCCCTGACATTTTATGTACCATTCGTTCTATCCATCTAAAATACAATAACTTTTTAAAAATTATTTAGTTATTCATATTACTTACTTATTAATAAAACTGATTTTCTTTTTTGTATGTGAAAGGTCGGAAAGGCCTCGAACAATCCCAAAGGAGCCAAGATTTCACATCCGTCAAAGAAAGTCTTCATGGTATAGTTTTTATTTTTCCTAATAACATTACCACATTGACTATATTCATTTTGAAGTACCATGAAGAAACTTATTAGTTGTCTTTTAAATGATAATTTTTTTATTCTTATGGTTTAGGCTTCTTGTTTTTTTGAAGGCAAAAAAATAAAAACATGACTTGGCATAACAACAAGACTGATACTTCTGTTGTTGGTCAACTCCAGTGCTCCGATGCTAGGAAGATGATGGACAATTACAAAGTTTATGCTGGTCCATGTTTCAGCAGATCGGAGTGCAGCCAGCGGGGAACTATTATTAATTCTTTCAAGGTTTTATCAGATCTGTATATAGGAATTATACTATTTCATAAAGGATCGAATCATGTTCCTTCCCAAAATTTTTAGTATGGTTTTATCTCTAGAACCAAAGAAAGAGGTGAGCCAGTGATAGCTATCTTCTTTCTCTATGTACTGCATCCAATTCGCCAGAATTATATGAGGTTTCACGATATATATATATATATATATATATATATATATATATATATCTTACAATAACAAGAGATGTTGTTGGATAGTCAAAATTATCCATATATATAGAAGAATAAGACAGCTAAACAATAAAGTAATTTTATGAGTGACTCAAATATATTAAGATATTATATTTTGAGTGTGTTTTTTTTTTCTAAAGCTTTCAAGTACTGGAAGATATATAAAACTAAAAAATATATTGTGGTGACTCTTACAATGTTTAAATAGGTCTCTCTCAACGGGGGCGTGCCGAGCACGTGAGAGCTCACAAACTTAGTGCGTTCGGGCCCATCATTCCCATCGGTTCCGTCGATCGGACGGCGTAGATCTCATCATCATGTCCAAGCAAAGCGCTTTCCCAACCCCCGTCCCTCTCGCGCTTCGGTATCTCCGCCATTTCCTTCTTGAAATCTCCGCTCCTCCCCCGGTCCGATCTCTTCGCTCCGTTCTGTCACTGGTCTCTTCCCTCTCCCTCTGCTTTCGATCCTGGCGTTAGGGTTTGCGTTATTGATCAGAATTCCTTTTGTTCCTCGCTGAGATCTTGGAGCCCTGGTCTGATGGCGTCTATCTCTGTTCCCTGCCCCAAGTGCTCTGTGACTGCTCGGTATGGCGCGTGGAGTCGGAATTGGATTAGAAAGTCCACTCCGCCGGACTCGTTTTTGAAGCCAGCGCCCGAGCCCTCTTCGCTTTCTGGATCTGCTTGGGTTCTTTCGTCAAAGGTGAATTATTGTTAATTCCTTTTTTTAGATCTTCAGGTTTTTATTTTCACTGTTCGATCGAAAGTTTTTGTTCTCAAGGCCTATTGTCGAAAGGGAACTGTACGAGGATTATTAGCCTCATACATCAACCATGCATCATCAGTTGGACTTCCAATTTTTGTCATCGTTATGGACATGAGAGGTTTAGCAGTTGCCCTGAGAGCATTCAGTAAATTTTCCATTTACGTAGTTATATAATTATTTATATTAGAACTAACAACAAATTTGGCAATTCGATCAGCAGTTTATCTACCTACAATTAGAAGACATTTCTAATTGGTCTCTTCCAAAAGTTTGTGCGATTCGGGCAACTTCTAAGGATAGAATTAGAGAAAAAAAGAGATTTAGGCTATTTCAGAAAACTACAATAATATTAGTAGTTGACTTTTAGTAAAAACATGTGAAACATTGTCGAGATAACTTGGATACAATGGCAATATTTTTGGTGGAAAATCCATGCTTTCAATGGTTTTGAAGATTAAGGACCAAGATCTGAAAGCAGTTATAGGCTTTGTGATCTTAAGGTTTCATAAGTAATAGTTGAAGAGGGAAAATCTCTGTGGCATCTTGTGTTCAATTATTGTTATTACATGCACACCTGTAGAATTTTTGACTTGTTTTGACATTTCTTTCTTTATGAAGATATGTTAATTTGTGTTTTTCTTACTGTTTAGCAAATCCAGTTGCAACTCCTTTGATCATTTTTTTTCTGATAAGCTTTTCTTATAAGAATTACAATTCTCCTACAGGTTCCTAGTCGTCGACATTTTCCCATTCTAAAGGCCCATTTTCAGGAGGTATCAATTGACTATAATTCTAGTGGTTATTAAACAAAACTAAAGAATATTTCATTTGCTTTTATGTCTGTAATTATACCAGGTTGCTGTTGTGAGTTCATCAAATTCTTCGTCTTTGGTATCAACAAAGTCAGAGTCTACACCAATTAAAGGTGAAGATTCTAGTATGGTGGAGGAATCTGCTAATGAAGATGCGGTAACAGATACCACCATATCTGCATTTATGGCTGAAGTCTCAAATCTTGTTAAGTAAGATAACCCTTCTTTTTCCTTTTCTCCAAAAATGTTACCCTTTTTTCTCTCATATGCTCAAATTTATTTGGAAAATAAATGATGAAGCAAACAAGTAGAAGACTGTGAGATGAAGGTTGTCATTGCATGATAAGTACGAAACATCTACAAATTGTTTGATGCTGGAACCTGTAGGTTACTTCCAGGTGGTGGATAAGCAATGTTATCCCACAGAGATATCATGTATAATAAGCTTAATCTCTTACCAGCCTCAAGGTCTGGATCAGAACTCCGTCGTCAAAAGTACTTGGAACTACAACCACGGCCAATCATAGATTGCAACAGGCCCAAGCCTTATTTGCAGATGTCCAACAGTCTCTAGCAACAATAAATATTTAGCAAGTTTTCAACATTGTAGGAATTGCGCTTATAAAACTCTAGATCAAGTTGCATATAACAATCTTTACTATATTTCTGAGCAGGCTTGTGGATTCAAAAGATATAACAGAATTGCATCTAAAGACGGAAGCATGCGATCTCCTAATACGAAAAAAGGAGGCTTTGCCTCAGCCGCCAGTTGCCTCCGCTCCTGTAATAATGCAGTATCCACAAACTATGCTTCCACCTCAGCCTTCAGCTCATGTTTTTCCTTCTGCACAATCAAATCCTGTTGCAGCATCTCCAGCACCAGCACTTCCGCCTCCACCAACAACTGGAAGCAAGTCATCACTTCCACCCCTGAAAAGCCCCATGGCAGGCACATTTTATAGATGCCCAGCTCCTGGGGAGCCTCCATTTGTTAAGGTAACTATCTAACAATAGCCCTTGACTTCTAAAGCTATACATTTTGCCTAATTTAAGTAATGCTGATGCATTTTTCTTTAAATCTCGGTTCATTATAACGAACACTTTTGTCCATTGTGCATCTTGTTTAGTGTTCAACATTTACCTTGGCAAATATTCTGCCTAGACTCTAACTGATCTGAGACCATCATATATAGGCTGGGGACAAAGTCCAAAAAGGACAGGTGGTTTGCATCATCGAGGCTATGAAATTGATGAATGAGATTGAGGTATTCTCTGTTCCATTCCTTCAATTTTCAATGTCTGTTTATTGAACTTTATGTTTTTAACAATTAGATAGTCTAACTTTAGCTATCAATGTGGTAAATAGAATTCAGTTGTTCTGGATTTTGGTGAAGATATGATAATTATCATTTATTATTTGTCGACTTTCTCTGGCTACAGGACTTTACTAGTCTTATACTTATCAGCCACCATGTTACCTCTACTGATTTGGATGATCCAAGGGTGTTTGTAAATACACGCAGAAAGTTGTCTTATGGAAATAATTGGTCTATGAACAGAACTAGATTCCTTTTCCCCTATCATTTTTGAAAATTTAGGTAGACTTGTTATTTAGAAAAGCCTGTGAAAGTATTGGAACAAATATTTGTTTCAAAAGCTAGAAAAGACAAAGAAATACAAAGGCTCCATAGAAACAGGCGAGGGCCTTTGATGAAATGAGCATATCATGCAGCACTTGGTGTCTCATATCTACAACCTTTTCATCGTGCAGGCTGATCAATCTGGAACAGTAGTCGAGATACTCGCAGAGGATGGAAAGCCAGTTAGCGTTGACACGGTACCTCTTCTCTTAATTCCCTCAAGAATCCCGACCCTCCCTCTTCTTTCACTCTACTGAAAGTTGTGTGCGTTGCTCTTTTGCAGCCTTTACTTGTAATTCAGCCCTGAAAGGTCAGAAGCATACTTAGTTTTACATTTATCTGTCACACATTTATATTATCACCTTTCGCTGTGCAGTTCTGCACATCGCAATTGCTTGTTTGATTTCATTGTCAAATCTACTCAAGAATTAAGGTAAAATGATGGTCCAATGTGCTTGGTAGCTAGGTGGTGGAAGCTTCACGAAATCTGCAAGAAAACAGTTTGTTCCAAATATCTTCTACTAAAGAAACCCTGTTATGTAAGATTCAAAGACGAGATCAATTTGTAATTTCTGTTGCCTTGAGTGTTATATGAGATGCGTTACATGCATGAAAATTTATGAAGATGGACATGGTCGTAAAAAGGCATACGAGCTTTGACGCCTTCCATTTACCACTCAAATAAAATGTATGCTCATTAAATCGTGGACGGGAAATGGAATAGTTGATTGGCAAGAACAGGCACTTAAACATGAAGGATGACATACCTGAGTTGTTCTGAACAAGATGTTCTTCTACTTGTCTTTTGTGAGAGTGATCGTTACTCTGGACTTGTAGCCATTTTATTTTCTTTGAAATAACGAGACCTGGCTTTGTAAGCTTCCAAAATAGATAATATTGTAGCCCTATTTAAGGGACAATCAATCCGTGCCAAACATACTCGCATATGGAGGCTGAATTACTAAGGTTGCTATAGAGTATAAACTACGTTAAGGGTAGGGAATCAAATTCCGTCTTTTATCACTTATCACGATTTAAGCATTCGAGTTTTATTTGAGACGTGATTAATAACAGTGAATGATAATTCGATGAGTACTAAAAAAATTATATGCCCAAATCAGATTTTAAGTAATTAATTGTGTTCAGAAATAAATAAAATGAAATTTGTGGGTGTCCATCGAAATTACTGCAGACCAGCGGTAACAGCCGGTGTTTATTACCGTGTGTTTTGGACGTATTCCGGGCCTTGTGGGGGAGCAGCGGGCGATCGGTGGCCGAGGAAAAGCGAACGCACCGCAGAGTGCATATGCCGCAGGTCAATTCTGGTGCTGCGCCAGTGAATCGAATGTTGCAGAGACACGCGAAAAGGGCACGTCACGCCGTGCTTACCGCCCGCCCTCCCACATGGTGGTGCAGCCCCCCTTCTCTCGCCTTCCCATGTGCCTCTCTCTCTCTCTCTCTCTCTCTCTCTCTCTCTCTCCGCGCTGTACGCCCTTCCTCCTCGCTGCAGCAACAACGCGGATGTATCGCTGGCGGGAGGCCACGCTTCCCATCTTCACGTGCACTCTTGCCTTACAGCAACCCTCACCCACGAGCCCACCGCCACCACCACCACCACCCTCCTCCTCCAAGTGGCCTCCTCAGATCCATTGGCATCTTTCCCTCCACAGCAGTGCGTGGCCTTCCTGTACCTTCAACTGTTCTCCCATCTCCCTCGGCAGTGAGCACCCATCCTTCCTCCTTAATTTAATTCATTTGATGATACATCAATCATTAATCTTTAACAAAATGTTTCCTCGCTAACACACTTCGCATGGCGGTGTCATCCATTATTCATGCATACCACAAACACGTTGTTTTTTTTTTTTGGGGGGTGAATTTTCAAAAAAAATAAATTAAAAAAATTGTATAGCATCCCAAATTTGAAAACAAATTCTAGTAGAACTTTTTTTTTTCCTCAAATGATTATTTTGCCCCCATCGATCATCGCCCTCTACTTAACTCTTGGTTGCATTGTTATCTCGAATGATCCTCGTCTCTCTCTTGCATGAGCAAAGGTACAAGTGACATTGCATGATATCTCCGTAGTCAATGACAACAATGATTAAGGGTCTGATGGGGTCATGTAACATCCTTGCACTCCTTCCTCGTCGATGCTATGTCCTCATAACTCTTTCTTCGTCGTTAACCACGAGTGAAGAAGGAAGGGAGCAGCTCACCCTCATGACTAGCAATGATAGTGAAAATTAACAAGCAAATGAGATGACACACGAGAGGCAAAAGGGTGTCGTTGATTGGAAGAAGGCATGACTAGGGTTAGGACAAGAATTTTTTAAAAAGATAAATGTAAAATCATTTTTTTACACAATTAAAGATGCTTTAGAGAAAATTTTCAAACTTAAAAGGGCTATATAAGAAATTCTAAAACTTAGAAACTTGTTTTAAAAATTCGTCATTCTTTTTCTCAACTCAAGAGGGTATACGAGGCTCTTGTCTTCTTCTAATAATATATGGAACTTGCATGCAGACACCCAACGCACTGCTAAATAATGTACGCAAGATGCACATGCAGATGTTCCAATGACTTGGTGACACTGACATGTCATCGAGATATCTCCCATGTAACATCTCTCCGGCTCACGGCGAAGGCGGAGGACAGATCTCACATGAGTCCCTGTCACATGGTCCACATGCATGTCATTTGCGCATCAGCGACACATCAAGTGGAGGCCAACATTAATACAAGTATACGATGCAATTACTTTCCACTGTGGTGGAAATTATTGCCATGCTTCGAGCCATGAAAACCTTTCGTGTAACGGTTGCCACCGCGTGCGTGATGCAGCCTTTGCAGATGGCGTGATGGTGCCCATCCTGCAGTCGGAGCCGTTGGATCGATCGCCCAGTACGTGTGCCGTGATTTGGGGGGAAGCAGCGCTGACACCCACGTGCAGGTATCATGGCGGTTACTGTTAAAGCGATTCGTTTTACATCGACATTCTGTCTTTTACCCACGAATTCACCCACGTACGGAGCCGATCCCGTCCACGTTTCACGTGGAGTCGGCATCCATCGGAGTACTATTTGTGTGTACAACGAATTGGGTGTGAAAAATAGTTGATGCTTTTTTACGTGACGGGTACTTCGGTGATAGAGGCACGTGAGGAATTCGGTCTCCCACGTGCGCCGTGCCAGGGGTTCCCCTTGGGCTTTATCGATTTTAACTTTTCCGTTCACTCTTAACCCTCCTTTTATTAAACTATTACGAGCTTACCATCACGTTCTCGTTGGCTGTCGCTTACGAATGATCCACGTTGTGGTGTGATTGTAATTGTTGGAGAAAACAAGGACATTTCACCTGAAGCTTCAGTCTAAAAGTTTGGCTGGGTAGGAGTCGAACGAGTCGCGTTGCTTCCCATCTCCGGCGATGCCAACGAGCTTTGGCTTCGATCGCAAGATCCACAGGCCGGTATTGAGGATGAGCAGGAGGAGAAGAAGCACGAGAGTTCTGAAGAACGCGAGGAGATGCGGCTACAAAGGCGGCAGAAGAAAGCAGAGCCGGGAGGCAGCGTCGAAGGCGGTGGCGGAGCGGCTGGAGGCGCTCAGGAATCTCATCCCGCCTAAAAACGACGGCGTGAAGGAGAGGGAGGCGGTCGCCGACAGGCTCTTCGAGGAGACGGCGGACTACATCCTTCTTCTGAGGACCCAAGTGGAGGTCTTGAAGCGGCTGGTGGATGTCTACAGCCCCTGCATTGACAACAGCAGCGGCAGTGCATGATATGATGATGATGTTATACAAGAGTGAAGACTACAAGGATGGCTTTTGGTTTGTTCCTGTTGTTTGCTGCTTCTTGTTCATTGTTGTGTTTGGTGTTCATCTTTAGGCTTTTGTTAAACTAGGAAAAGCTAACTGTGATGTTCTCTTGTGATCTCCTTCCTTATCCTAATGTTCAAGTTAAATTAGTGGAGTGGAGCCATTTTTCCTCCGAACAGAAATTGATATACTTGTTCCACCAACACTTGTTGTCTTGTTGACTCGATCTCCAATGCTGCTACCATGCATCATGCATTTGTGTAGCATTGCAAGAAATATTACCTCTCTTTTACTAAGGTTGACTGAAGCATTCAGGCTGTTTGAGTATGAACTGCCATGTTGCTCGTGTCAGTGAATAGTTTATGGAAGAACTTAGACAGCACTTCAGCTCCTCTTGTTTTACTTTTTCGGAACACAAGGAAGTCCTGTACTGCACCTTCTCTAAGAATGTATCATTTGGTTTTGTCATGTTAAGATAAATTTGTTCTTTTATTTTCCAAAGAAATCTATATTTCAGTTGGGAACACACAAGTCAATCCTCCATGTTCCATCCATGAGATCGTGTTGAACACTAATTTTGAGCAAACACCCTTCCCCATCAAATTTTCTTATCCTTCTCCTATGAGTGCAATGTCTTAGTTATTTCTTGTTTCCAAGGAAATCTAAGATTTCTTTTCCTGAAAGAGAGAGAAGGAAAGCTGTGGACTGGGCCAAGGTTTTTACTTGGTGATTGAAAGTGATTTATGTATCTATAGTGAATAGAAACTACAATGAGGAATATTTCTTCAAGCAATGCATCAATCTTTGGAAGATTTATTGTCACAGCCTTTGGACAAATGGATTCTAAGAAGAAAAAGCCATTGGAGTTGAATAACTTCTGCACGACTGCTGCACTCTGATCGATTAGAACTGTTATACATTCTTTTCCAAATCATAGCAATTTAAAGTCTAAAAATTTCCACTCAAATTAATTCTTCTCAGTGCAAGTTTCGATCCGAAGGATTCATGGCGTCAACAAAACCATGAAGATTGTCGAAGGAAGACTTCGCTCTCCTGCAGTTAAATCCTCCATCTTCACTCTCATGTCTTCCGGTTTGACTATCACACTCTCGGCATGTATCAAGCTTTGACCTGCACTCCAATGGAGGAAGTGGTCTGCGAAGCATGGCCAGCACACGAGAAGTACCCAATTCCCAGCTACCTCCATGGTTGAGCTCCAGTTCCATCTCTGTTGCAAGAAAATTGAGCTGCATTCATGAGTGACAGCCAGGGCCGGGCTGGAACCTCTCCTGTCTCGTAAATGCTCCTGCACAGAGTTCGAGCAGATGTTTCCTCAGGATGAAAATTTTAGTTCCTCGGCAACCAGGCACTTCGACGTCTGTAACTTTGACTGTCGTCTTCTATTTGCTTCGTCTATCAATTTTCTGATGGACACATGAATTAGAACACAATCTGTCGGATGAAATAATGGCCATCAACAAGTCAACATTGGGAAGTGCCACAGCAAACCATTCTTCCTCTGCTGCAACTCGCTCGGCATCCAAGCCGAAGGCTTTACCAGGTTGACTTACTGGACCTTGGACCTCGTGAGGTTGACTTGAAAAGTGAAGTGGACCTTCTGGGCTCGTCCAGATCTTCTTGCGGGTTGGACATGGATTTGTCGAACCCAGATGGTCCGATCAGACTGAAACCAAACGATAATTGGAGACTCTTCGGATTCACCATTACAGATTGATGTTGCTCTGTTCTGATCCAAATTATGTGGGACAAAATGCAACATTTGTCCCAGAGAAAACATGTGATAGCTCCTCGAGTGCCGCATCTCCATCTGGTCCAGTATTAGCATTAGCTGCATGATGCATTCTCATCACTGTCCGATATCTTTCCCTGCAACTGTCATCATCTACCATCAGAATCCACTTGGCTTGTCGTATGGCTGACAACTGACACCCTCGGAAAAATGATTTGAGTCATCTCATGTGATCTTTAAGCCCCTAAAACTGTATAGGTGGAAATATATAAAAGCTCAGAAACCGGAGTTCTTGTAACACTCGCTTCCTCAGTAGCTCTCGATCCATCGTCCCCGCACGTTCTTTTCTTATACTTTCCTGCAGGAAGACGAGCATCTTTGCTGAGGACTGGCAGATCTTTCTTGTGGCCGTGATCCGGTTTAAGGAGAATCTCAAGAACATTCCGCGAGGGGGATGTGATGGCTTTTGGAAACAGAGCCATGCAGGGACTCTATTTTTACGTGGTAACCATAAATGCTTGCATTGGTTGCAGGAAGTTGGAGAATGCCGCAGTCTCTTCAGGTGTGGATTTACTTGCCATGACTTGATCTGGCTATGGAACTTAGGAAATAAGATAGATAGTTTGATGAAAATTTCATGCAGAGCATGAAGCTGCAATATGTTTCCTTTTTGTTGGTTTAGCTGCTCCACTGACAGTGTGGTAGAAACAATTCATCCAAAACTTTCCTTGTTCTATTATGGTTTGCATGGATAGAACAAGCATCAAAACAATTATGAGCAGTGTTTGAGAGTGGCATTTGAATTTGTATAATTGTTAATTCAGATAATAAAGATAAGATTCACAAGGCTTTGAAACTTCTCAGGTACATGCATGCTATATAACTTGGAGATACTTATATTCCACATACTTCTCTTCATTTATATTCAATTGTTATAAGACAGTTTGGGGTTTTATGCAACATTGTTGTCTGATCATGCTTTATAGATCTGAAGATCAGGCAATTAAGAAACAATATGCATAAAAAAAATTGAGTTGACATGAATCCATGAAGTTACTAGGAATGTCTTAGTTCAAGAATAATTAAGCATTTCCCCAATAAAAAATAAAAATGATGATATGAATATACTCAAAATTAATCTATAGATGATATAGTAAGACAATATGAATTGATCATGATTAATGACATGATGAGAGATTTAAAAAGATTTCTGCAAGAAATAATTAAATAATATATAAATACTCTTAATTTAATTAGAGATATTGCATTTCATAAATTCAATAGTCGGAAAGGATCTTTATAATCATCCTAAATAGTTGGAACATTGTTAGTTTATTGGTATGTTAAATTATTAGTAAGATTTTCCTATGAATGGCATTGGCAGAAATTAAAAAAAAATCATTTATTCTAAGAAAAAGTCATTTTCTTGTTTGATTCCTAATAACTAAGTCATAAAATATCTGTTTAAAATTATCTCAAATTTTATTTACTTGCATGCTATAAAATATATATGCTTCCTGTTGAGGGAAGATACCATTGATATTCTGGTAAGTCCGACGTGGTTCGGACTCGCATGCACAGGATTATCTAAGATGTCTTCGAGTTTGAAACGTTGAGCTCTCGAGATGCCACCTGCATGAAGACCGAGGTCGAGAGAGGTTTCCTAATCTAGTCTCTCCGATATCTAATTTAGTAACCCGAGATATATAAATGTAGATGCAAATGGTTAAAAAAGATAACACCCATTTTCAAAGGGTAAAATATTTTATGAAAAATTATACGGGGAGGCAATCTCTAATCGCATGGCCTCTTACCAAAGGGCGAGGGAGGGGGGGCATCCCGTAACCACCTGCATTGGACCCTTGCCCACGTGAGCATGACAATTACGTGTTGGATGACGATTAACTGACGATGTACTTCCTATCATTTGTCCCCCTCTACTAAGATATGTTTGGGGCTCTTATGAGAGGGGACCAAAGTGCAACGTCTAATTCATCCGACATGTCAAGCTTATACCTTTTTAATCCATTATTGACTTGGTGGCATGTTTAGTTCATCTGACATGTTTATTTGAGATTGCCTCCCCCTAGTGCTACTAGTGGTGATCCATTGTTGATCTATCCTTCGCATTGTCGAGGAATGCACATTGGTCGGACGAGGTTAGCTTTCAGAACCTCCTTATCTCTTTTCAACCTCCACGCCTTAGCAAATCCTAGGGTTGAGCTTTCCAACCTTTCCTCTCTAGCGAAGGTAGGGATTAGGCATCTCTGTTGGGAAACATCAGGGAGCATCACATGCATAGCAAAAAAATTAAAACAAAAATCGTTTCCCAAGCAAAATATATCGGATCACCGAGAGATGACCAGGAGTATAAAACTAAAAATAACAAAACTTCATCGAGGAGTGAGACGTTCTCGCCTAAGGGAACTTGTATATCCCCTAAAACACATATCCTGATCTACTTAGATGAAGAAGCTCTTGTGAACTTCTCTCTAGCAAAAGTCTACTTGGTGGATGGCAGCAACGATACACCTCCTCACTGTAGACTCTCTCTCCTCGTGATGGTGCTTCACCACATAGTAGGGCAGCAACAACACTTAGCAAGGATGGGGTGACCCTCTTGCTATCCTCTCACATAAGGGAGGCATCGGTTGAGAGAGATGGGGAGGAGGAGATGGGAGGCCAGCAACTTAGATGAGTCTAGCCTATAACTCATGGAGACCCACTCCTATTTATAGAGAACCTCTCTTACTAACCTTAGTGGATCCCATGTAATAGCTTAATGGGTATTGGATCCTTATCCAATAACCACTCTAAGCTCCAAGTATTATTGGGTCTCACCTTATGGATCTATTAAAAAAAGAGTTTATTGGATATCTCATATCTAATCTTTTGTTTGTCGCATCGTCCACCTATTGTGTGTGACCCTCTAGGCTCAATACAGAGTTGGCCATGAGTTGTACCTATTAGAACTCTTTCTCACTCAACTTATAAACTATGGATATACTAGGCCACTACACTATGGTCCTCAGACGGCACAGGAGGATATAATCTATTAGACCTGTCTACCCTCAATTACTGTGTATATATAGTCCCTCATGTATCCAATATCATAAAGACCGTATATTGGGCATGGTGTTGTCAGGCCCGTATGAAATCCATCAAAGTCTCACTCTTATCGGATTCTCCCAAATAACTCCTCTTTTAATTCGAATGACCATAGCTAGAGATTTGCCTAGGTGAGAACATACTAGATATTTCTCTTATGATACTTAGATGATCCTCTATTGACACATAATTGCCTTTGTAAGATTGGCTGTCATTTTCAATGACCGTTTGCACTAGATTTGAAACTTACATACCTATAAGTCTGGTATCAAATAATAGAGTACTCAAACAAGGCATTATTTATGTCTCAAGTCTAAGGACCAAATACATAACTGAGATTAAAGAATTGCTCTCTAACAATAGGGTATTATTAACCATCTAGCATTCCATAAGCAGATTATTCAATGAACTTATTCTC